TGTCGGACTTGTTATTGAAGATAAAACCTAATTGTGTAATGAAAATACGGAAGATAATAAGTTGGATAAAAACTTAGTAATACACGATTGAAAAGAAACACAAAAGAACAATAAAATAATATATTAAAACGAAAGTATAATGGCACTAATAATATTAACACGACAATAAATCACGCTATAGGTAAATCGCAGACTGAAAACGCAACACCAATCTGTTTGTTATTTAAAGAAAACACGAACAGACGTAGAAACAAGCCTAACGCCGGCCATATTGTATGCAAAGCGAAATTTATACAGTGATTTCTCCTTTAAACCATCAAGAGCAATAAGTATAAATCTTTAACATTACCATAAACGCTGTTACTATTATGTTTAGATACCCACCACGAGTTTATTTATAAACGCATCCTTCTTAAATATTGCACCTTTAAATTATTGCTTGCAATTTGAAATTGTCTCGCGGCACGGCGCGGGCGCATGGGCCATACGAGGTTGCGCCGGAGTCGAGTTCTCTCTAAAATGTTATTTAATATGTCGACAAGTGCTAGTGTAAATTGTATTGAAATTCATGAGCAGGCTGTATGATCAGTGGTTATGAAAACGGAGATGATATGGATGGATGTTGACCTGTGTTGTGTCTTGAAGAAAGTTGCGCATGGGCATTGTCTGGTTAAAACTTGTTTGTTTGACATACCAGTACCTGACTTTCGATGTAGATAAGATAATTCTTCTTGATTGAGAAGTAGTGTAGATAACACACGATGCCATAAGCGTTTACTTTTTGCATTTCACTTCGCCATTTTTCTATCTTCATATCTAAATATGGGGACTTTTAGTTTGAATTTGATTGTTATCACGTATCAAATTTTCTGTTAATGAAGTCCTTATTTTCGATTGCTAAGCCTAAAGGTTCTTTCTATTTCTTTCTATTCCTGAATACTGTAGTATCTCACAGTTTCTACTAGTTTTAGAAAACTAGTAAATACTTGAGGTAGTTTCTGCCTGCCCCTCGAGGGCAAACAGTCTTGCTGTTATGAGTTTTATAAGCAATAAACATCTGTACAATCTATCTTCACACACAATAGTCTATCAAAGTGGACTTGCCAAGATGTCCGAATCGAATGTTTCAATAATGTACGGCATCTTACAATATTTGTAGTGAATCATTCGAAATATCGATTTATATTATCCGATATATCGATTTTGTACAACTTGTACCATGAAACTACTTACTTTGTATTGTTACAATTTCGAATTGATCTACATAATACTATTTTTCCTCAACTTAGGAATACTTACCTATGACGATGACTTTACTTGTATGATTTATTTTTAGTTTTTCCAATTTTTACGATAAAATAACAATAACAAAAAATCATTATCATGGAGTAAATTACCCAAAGCCAGATTCAGAGATTAGAAAACAATTCGTTTCTATCAATTATTGCTTATAGATACAAATCAGAACAACCTTATAATCTAGATTAAAATAAATTAGTGTTGTCGCCATGCTTAAAAATTGTAGATTAAACCATCGATTTTATCGACTCTGCGGCATAATAATGCATGTTGAAGATTGATTTAAAATCACCTTGAGTTAAAGGCCATGTCGATAAAATATGTATGGGACTACGATTGTTGGCGACATCGAGCGAACGTCAGTGATTGGCGCTTATTGTATTACTATTGTATATAAGCGAAGCGATCGTAAATGTTTAGCAACATCTAATGTGTGCGATCGATTTGTTTACTCGATTGTAATTTTATCGATATCGATAAAAGTTGTGTTTTACTTTTTGATTTTGTGACAGCATTATAAGGTGTTAGGATTGGTTTCGTGTATTAGTTGATGATATCTAAAGAGCTAACTAATTTCATCGAGTATCATCTGTGATGAAAGTTACTTCCATCATATTATGATTCAACTTTGAAAGCTATCGCATCTTATTATTCAGATACTGGTTCCCTATTTTCAAATCTCATAATATTTATTCATCGATGTTGTCAGTCGACATACAAAATATCGATATGGATCTGTTCAGAATAATGTCAGCCTCCACTGCACTATTTATGATCTTCATTGTAATCGTAATTGTATTGTTTCGCAACTATAAAATCGCATGTTTTATGTTATTTATAACTTTGTCCCATTTTATTTAAAAATTACAACATTTAATAAACATGTCGATTGTAATAAATTTTAAAGCAAACTATACAACCAGGAAACTTGTGATTTGCGTATGAATATAAACACTATAAACACGTTACAACATTTTTGTGTGAACTTTGGAACCGACTTATAACATAATAGACATAAAATATTATAAAAAAATAATTCCTTTTTAGACCTCCGTGGCTGCGACTACACGGTACAATGATAATGTTTTCAAAATATTTATTTTTTATTCAAGCGGAAGGGGAGCCTCGTTAATTGGCACATCACAATAGAGATTACAGAGATTAGCCGGTTAGTTTTGTGATTCAAATATGGCCGCCGGTGGGCGACACTATCCCGGGCCCTGTTATGATAATATTCCCGTCATTTCATACAATAATTTGTACAGGAATTGTTCGAGTGGACGTTGTAATACCCTTATAACACTGTCAACGTCTGTTTTGCGATAATTGGAATGCATAATGTAGTGTCTGACCCATGAGAGTTACGACTTTAATACTTTTTGACCTCATAGATTTACTCTTAAGATTTTATTCTTTGATGTTTTAGTATCTGGTCTAGTATTAATAAAACTAGGCAAGATGGCCATAATCGATTTAGTATTCCGTGTCTAAAACTGTAAATGTATTTATGTATCGTTAGACACGTGTTACCCAGGTGTTGTTACATTAGTCGTGTCGGTGTCAATAGACGATCATAAGCGTTTGCGCGAGCGAGGGCTTGACTCTTAATAGCGGCAACAGGCGATCGGCTCTCGCATCAATCTTCTCGATCGTCACTGTCGACTCGGACTCGCCCCCCGCGATTAATCACCAGCCAGAACGTTTTCGATTAGCGCCGGATAGCACACACGGAATAAAAAAGCACGTTCCATTTATGAACGTTCAACGTACACCATTTGTTTTAGCGTTTGGTCCCGGTCAGATGTGTCCCGCTCTCGAAGGGTTAATAGGAATACGCAATGGTATTTTTTTGCAAGAATAGAGTGCCTATCTTTAATGAGAATGTACAAAGGTGTTAGACGGAAACAGGAAGTGTCAAATGGCGTTTCGTTGTCTCTCCACGGCCCAGTTCTTCGTAGCGCTAAGTGCGTCGATGTAATTGCCCGGGCAATGCAAATAGCTCGGTGTTTGATCGCGTGTACCGCCGGCGCCGACATGTATTCGAGCTATGGGACACTTTTGCCCGCTCTTCAATGTAAACCGGACGAGTTGCGCGTGATTGTTTAACGGGTTTCCCATTGTTTGACTATGATGTCAGGATCACGCTTTCGCGTTTGTCATATGGCGTTATTACGTTGATAATTGGTCAATACACGAGATTAGAATCGGATATTCCGTGTAACGTGGCACGATAAAATTGAATGTACAAATAAACTGGACTGTGTCAATGACTCGCCTACCTCTTATCAAAAGAAAATACTGAAAACTATTTTCAAATTTCCGAATCATTAATAAAAGAAACAAACGATCATCCAATGAGCAGCAGCTTATCATAAATACACAACAACAAAACAAAACCACTAGGTATATTTATAATTACATCTACATCTGACCAATCAAGCGCGTCGCATTATCTGCGGTAGTTTGTGATACGACCGCATTATCACGTTTAAATTACAAGTGCATTTAAATGGCGGATATCGGGGTAATTATATGGAAGACACGCCTTCTACAGCGTTGGTTATCCTTATCTGGAACCCCTGGGTTCCTGTGTAATTAAATTAAAAAAAAAAACATGATTGCGAATGTCAAACGATATAGCGAAATGACTGAGTAATCTTTTCATTAATATTCATTGAAAGACTTGACAGTTTTACTCTTACAAATATTTATTAATACGGACTTGTATACGTTTAGTGTCCGTGTGTCTGTTATAGGTATCAATTGAGCAGTTGCCATCGAAGTACTCATGCAAAACATGAAAAGACTCATTTCTCTTCTGTATTTTAGGTGCTCGAACTAAATAGTTTCACGAATGATTGCTATTTAATTTCTAATGATGTCTGGACAGATTACTATGAAATATTAAGTGTACTTAAGTAATTCAAGTATATTACGCTAGTTTCTTACAAATATGAGGCAATAAAATGGGTCATAGAAATGTCAAATTGAAAGTCCTAACCAATAGAGTATATTACTTACTATTTCTACGGTATAAAAAAAGGGGGTTTTGTATAAAGTCACTAACAAATACTACTCAAACATTGTCAACAGCTTCTTATAAGTACAATAACAGAAAATGGTCTTTAATTACCTCAATTTAATAGTCAGTTGAGCACGCATTATTGTATGAGAATGGAGTAAAATGTAATGCAGTTTCTATGTTTTGTATAAAAGTATATCTAAGTATGCGGGCACACGTGGTCTTCTCGCATCGATGAACATTCTTAACTTCCTATAGGGAATATTAATAACTTCATTAATACTGGTTTTATGACAAAATACTGCACTTTTTTCCTATAGTTTTAGTTGTACCCGCGTCTGTTTGTTATAAATTATATTGTGGGTTATCTTGTTTGTTTATATTATGCGAGGACAGTGACATCTGATCGTCTGATCCATTGTATTCTTTCTTTTGTCCCGTCTAATCTAGAATCAGGGCAGTCAATTCCATATTGAGTCTTTAGTCAATTAGGCTGCTAGGAATAAAATACCCGAAAAACTGTTATTCTGTAACTTTTAATCAAAAAGCTAAATAATTATTGAGAGTTAGAGACCTCATTACTATACTATACCATCTTTAAATCATAAATTATCATCATCTATATCATGTTTTTATCAAGAGATCATGAGTGTTAATGTTATTTTTTCTTTGTTTTCAGTTGTATGAGATCAGCGATGATCCACAAAGGAAGGAATTCCTGGATGACCTCTTCTCTTTCATGCAAAAGCGAGGTAAGTGCACTTCCCACATCATTCATTTCTAAGGCTGCGGCTTTAGATATAGCGGGAGCGATTTTAGATATAAAAACTAGCCTCTAATACATTTCCACTAAAGCCGTTTACGATACAATTTATTTACGAAGTAAAACTTACGAGACTGGTTTAGAAAAACTGTAGTTAATACAATAGACACATAATGACAAAAAGTTATAATATCTATTAAGATGATATTATTATTTTAAGTAATACATAAAAAAACTAATCTGATTACTTTTCAACCAACCAAATTTGTCAATTTGAAACAATAAACTGTTATTTCTTCGTATAAAAAATATCAACCTAGGTCATTCCGCTACATCTTCATCTATGACCATACCCTAATATAATTTTGATTAATCCTTTGTACCGATTGATATTCATTGTAATTTATCAACTCTAAATGCTTCATTCACGATCATTGATACCAATACAACAGCATAGTAAGATATTTCTTTTAGAACAATTAATTTGGAAACAGGGGTCAAGTTATTATGGTTGTTAGATACAAATCGGATATCAGTCATTGGTCGTATAAATGGTTTTATTGTGGAGATCTGTGATCAAGGGATAAGATCATGGGTGATGGACGAGCAACTGATCGTGGAACTAGGGTCGATGGAAGTCTGTTATAAAATATGAACGATTCTAATTTTAGAGAAGGTGTAATGAAATCGGTTTATGATTTAGCTTTTACTGATTCTTGAGTTTTCTAGTAGTTCTAAGTATACCCCTTAACGCATAAAACGCCATGGGGGTCACCGATGACCGATGTTAGCGAAGGTTTACCTTGAACAGTTTTCTAATGGCAGTGGCTTAAAGAGGTTTCACTGCCTTGTAGTGGGTTGATATTAAGCAGAAATGTAATAAACACTTCGATAATCACTGAAAAACCCGTTCTCCCAAAATCTTGACCAAGTCTCTATAAAATTAACACCATGTTTTCTGTAGTTAACGAATTTAAAAACAACCTTTAAACTATCTATTTTTATGTATTTTCTTAGAATGTAAACCTTCAGGTCAAACTGTCAAGTAATAACTTCTATTTAATAAGAACACAATCAACATTAATTTTTATAACCATCACATAACTACTGATCCATATTGTTCTTATTTATAACTTTCTTTACATAAAAAAACTGTGGGAATTCGCCAAACGATACTTATCCGAAGATAGTCATTACATTTAAAATATCATAATAGAAATAATTAAGCAGGAGATCGCTCGATCGCTTGAGGCGTCGAGATCGTGCGCGGGCGCGTGATTGATAACTCGACACCTGTCTCTTTCTACCTCACGCGTTTCTCTATCTCTATCTCTCTCTAGCATTAATTGATCTTTGTTGTAAATGGCGCCGATTGTCGCTAGATAGATCATGTTGATATCTTACCGCCCAGTTGTTAGTCAAATCAATGGTTTATTGTTGCATTTGCAGCTTTAAGCTGACCTTATATAGGATTCATTATTAATTGTATTTGTTTTCAAGTGATTAACAATAGTAATTGGGTATCTTATTGTTTTACTTGATTTCCTTGCGGTATTGTGATGTGAATAGGGTAGACGACTAATTTTTATTTTAATGTCCGTCTGGTAGATTATTTAAAAACATTAGACACGTATTTTTTCTTTTCTCACAGAAACGAATAGTTTCGAAGATATATTGATTTGAAATGTCGCGTGACGTCACTTCTCAGTACATTTTATACTAAGAAATGACGTTTTAGCCCCCACTCCTAAACTTTGATTCGTTTTATCTAAGTATTGTTTTATTATACGACAAAATAAAAAAATACGTATCTAATATTTTTTCATTACCTAACTTACGGACTAATTATATTTTTAATTTTCATACCCTGTCATCATCCCCATTAGTATTGTTTGTTGGTTGTAGTATTTATTCTTTGGTAGAAGGATAGCTTTCGCTTACGTGCGACGAATTAAATAATTAAGCAGATGCAAATGTCAGCTGTAGCTAATTGTTGCACTGTTGAACAAGTTTCATAAAAATATTAATCATATTTCTGTATTCTTAATATTATATGAAATTGGTTAAGTTGAAATTAATCTTAATAATTGGTTTTGTTATTCATGCGTTACTTCTTAAAAAAAGTAGATATGTGTCGAAATAAGTTGTTATTTCCGAAGTAAAACTCCTTACATTCTCAACATAAGCCTACCAAAATATAAATTCGATTATTCTCAACAACCTTGCACCTTTTTCTTCACAATTCTTGTTGATAACTACAGGGTTGGTCCACATAAAAAGCAGATAGCTTCATCAGGGGTTAGTATCGGGGGCGGCAACATTCCCTCCACAGTTTGTTAGCCCCTGTGTCTAATTGAAACAGAGTGGTGACTGCACCTCACACCGATACGTCTTAGAACGTAAACAACAAATTAAACTTGACATTAAAAAACCTGTCATAATTGTTACAAATAGGATCTAGTAATACTGGTTGTAACTATTTTTTCTTTGCTATTATTTATATGTTGAGTTCTTTAGTATTGATCGTTGCAATAATTTGCTACAAATGTTAGCACATTTGTAGTCCGCCCCGTCAAATACACGCATTATGTTAACAATTTTGTTGAAGTACTTTCTATAACGATACTTTCACGTCATATATTTTTTATGCAGCTGTAAAGTTTTAGTGCCAATTGAAGGATGTTACTAGGATAAAATTGTAATACAAATTGTGGCGTAGCGCGTAATCTTGCGTAGCCATGGCGTAGCGCGTAACCTTGCATAGCGTGTAACCTTACGTAGCCATGGCGTAGCGCGTAGACGAGCTACAAATCGATCAGTTTATTTTTATTCGAAGTGTTGAATGCGGAATTAATGTAAGGTTTTATGTTACGCGTCGGTGTAACAGGTAGCCAGCGCACACGTTGAGAGTATCACTGCGTGCGATCAGAGAGCGCCCTTATCTTGTTCAGAATAAATTATTATTCAATTTATCATTCCGGTGAACCGGCCAATAAACTTCTGGTTATTATTACGCGAACAGATAACGCAGGAAACTAATCGCATAAGACTGATTACGATTTGTTGGCTAGGCTAGTTGGAATCAGTGTTAATACTTTGATCAAATATATTCATACAATAAATATTTTATTCAACCGCTACAAATTGTTCCGCCGGAGGAAACAACGTTTAATGATTAGAATTAATTTATTCGACGTGGGTTAGCATGTGTGAGCCATCAAACGGACTGATCTCCTCGTATTAATAATGTTTTATCATTTATTATTGCTTGTGAGTAATGAAAGTTAGTCGGCCACGCCCCGCGCCTTCTCCGCACTCTGTCTTCGTCTCGGTTCAAAAAAACAAATTATTATTTTATTTTTTATTTTATCGAGTCGTCGACTAATGTTTGATGCGAGCGACACACGTTTAGTTATCAAATAAATGTAAATCGACAATGTTGCTGTACCACGCGTGACGAACTGGGTGTTCCAGTTTGTTAATCGATTACTTTTTATCGATTGCAATACGATGAACGTTTTTGATTGAAGGAAAATTACTCGATAATTTGACAGCGATTGATGTCTAATTTGTTATCGATGATTTAAAATGTAATTCGACTCGGTTAATTTGTTCTTATTTGGCTTACAATGCGATGAACATAGAATTGTAACAAGCCTGTCAATGTATGAATTAGTATTTTTTTAAATATACATACAGGCTGTGTAAAAAATCGTGATTAATTTAGTATCTTGTTCTATTTGTCTATTTTATCGCCTAATTATGATAGAAGATATGGCTGGTGTTGGATGTTGTGACCACGTGACCGGCTCGTTAGCACCTGATTGATCGGCTGGCGGCCGCTCCTTGCCGATACTTACCTACAGGATGATCTTAAAAATGCATTACCTTTTTTCTAGACATTTAGGTACAACACAATAAAAGCAATTAAATTAAGTCATTCCACTTAATATCTACATGAAAAGTGTTCAGTAAAACAATTAATGTTAAAAATGTTACTTCAATCAAGATTCATATGTTTTCATATCAAATGTGTCACATTTAATGTTCCGGAATACAAGATTTATTTATTAGATTACATAGTTCTACATAGAAACAGACATTTAACATATAAAAGGCGTGTTATCGCGATTTAGATTTATAGATATAGCACTAATTGCTATATAAATGAGCATTAATTTGTTCCTGTCTGTAAAAATAATATACGACATATTAGTACATTATATTGCTCAAATATTTATGTGTCTGATTACACAATGCAATTTAAATACTAAAATCTAATCTCCGTTTAACAATCACCATGTAAAACCGGGCTATTGTTTCACTTGGTAATAGCGAGTGTGGTATAACTAATAACATCTCATTCGGAATCATTTCCCGTGATTAATTATCTGTTTAATCGATATAAGATGTTGTGCCAACAGCCTTCTCGGGTTTCTACATTTTTATACCCTTCGAATTTGAACCATAGTTAACCGAAGATAGGGTGTAGTTTAGCGTGGTTGGCAATAGATTATAGATTACGTTAAAGAGTTGATCTATCAAATTTTTTTCGTCTCATTGAAGATAGCTTTTGTTGGAGGTTTAATTGGTGTCTTAAACATGCAAGCGGTTAATTCGATTTCAAGTTTGGGCTTAGCTCATTTGTTTTTGTCCGTTTAAAACTGAGTTTAGACGAATGTTAATCTAAAGTTGATTGATTAGAGACGACTTCGATACGTCTATGGGCGTGGTTCTTATTACCTTTTAAAAGTGGTTTGTGGATTTAATGTGAATTAAAAAAATATGTAATCTTGTTTTTTGTTGACTTACATGATTTGTTTTTGAGCTGGTTTCCATTGTTTGGGATTAGGTTTTTGATTTGAGTGATGGTTCGTAATCGGATATGATTCTGTCAACGGATTGATGGTAATTTGGCTTACATAGCCATAAAAATAACGGACTTTCCTCATTATTATAGTAGGGACCAATTCCCCAAGTCTTCTGTCA